CACTTTCAAACATAATCACATTAAACAATATTTATCTACATACCTTAACTCATAATCCACATTTTATCTAAGATTGAGCTTGAACATTATTATATTTTTTTAATAAGTGGCTTTATTCTATTTTCAATCAATTTCACATTAAACAATATTTATCTACATACCTTAACTCATAATCCACATTTTATCTAAGATTGAGCTTGAACATTATTATATTTCTTAATAAGTGGTTTTCTTCTATTGTCACTTTCAAACATAATCACATTAAATAATATTTATCTTCATACCTTAACTCATAATCCACATTTTATCTAAGATTGCGCTTGAACATTATTATATTTTTTAATAAGTGGCTTTCTTCTATTGTCAATCAATTTCACATTAAACAATATTTATCTACATACCTTAACTCATAATCCACATTTTATCTAAGATTGAGCTTGAACATTATTATATTTCTTAATAAGTGGTTTTCTTCTATTGTCACTTTCAAACATAATCACATTAAATAATATTTATCTACATACTTTAACTCATAATTCACATTTTATTTAAGATTGAGCTTGAACATTATTATATTTTTTAATAAGTGGCTTTCTTCTATTGTCAATCAATTTCACATTAAACAATATTTATCTACATACCTTAACTCATAATCCACATTTTATCTAAGATTGAGCTTGAACATTATTATATTTCTTAATAAGTGGTTTTCTTCTATTGTCACTTTCCAACATAATCACATTAAACAATATTTATCTACATACTTTAACTCATAATCCACATTTTATCTAAGATTGAGCTTGAACCGTAATTTCATTGCACTGCTCTAGCAATTCATTGGGCGGGATTTTTTTCCTCCTTAATTTCAGGTATGCGAAATATATGTGATTTTAATCGCACATTGTTCGTCGTGCTGCGAAATAAAGGTTGGCAGGTTGCGTCTTTTCGTCTCGCAAAATAACAGTTGTTTTACGGAAAAGGTCGCCTCTTCTCCGAAACGACGTCCCCTCAGTCTTCGGCGCATTAATAACAATTAATTATATTTTACGTATTTTTTTAACCAGATATGCGAAATCAAATGCAATTGATTGTCAATACGTTATGCGAATGAAGTGCGATTCATTGCATTTGTTCGTAGTTCTGCGAATTTGAAGAGTCGCCTCTTCTCCGAAACATCCCTCAGTCTTCGGCGCATAATAACAGCGCGCATATCAAGGAGGATAGAAATCTTCTTGAGTATATCTTCTTTAACCAGATATGAGAATCATTTATTGTCAATACGTTATGCGAATGAAGTGCGATTCATCGCATTTGTTCGCAGTTCTGCGAATTTGAAGAGTCGCCTCTTCTCCGAAACATCCCTCAGTCTTCGGCGCATAATAACGGCGCGCATATCAAGGAGGATAGAAATCTTCTTGAGTATATCTTCTTTAACCAGATATGAGAATCATTTATTGTCAATACGTTATGCGAATGAAGTGCGATTCATCGCATTTGTTCGCAGTTTTGCGAATTTGAAGAGTAGCCTCTTCTCCGAAACGTCCCTCAGTCTTCGGCGCATAATAAAAGCGCGCATATCAAGGAGGATAGAAATATTCTTGAGTATATCTTCTTTAACCAGATATGCGAAATCATTTATTGTCAATACGTTATGCGAATGCAGTGCGATTCATCGCATTTTGTTCGCAGTTCTGCGAATTTGAAGAGTCGCTCCGAAACGTCCCCTCAAGTCTTTGGCAAATTAATAACGGCGCGCGTATCAAGGAGGATAGATATCTTCTTGATTAACCAGATATACAAAATCATTTATTGTCATAAAGTTATGCGAATAAAGTGCGATTCATCGCATTTTATTTGCAGTTCTACAAATTTCAAGAGTCGCTCCGAAACGTCTTCTCAGTCTTTGGCAAATTAATAACGTCACGCGTATCAAGGAGGATATCTTCTTGTCTTCTATAAAAGGTAGCTGAGATGAGACAATTGAATTAGGATTAGGACCATTTTCTCAACATTCTTCAACTCTCGCTTTCCTCAACATGCCGGTCAATGAAGTCTCTTCATTGTACGGACATGTTGAGAAAAATCAAAGGTTAAAGAATTGAGAGATGTGTCCTGATCCTCCTTTTGTCTTTAAGGGTGCGCTCCCTTTCACTGTCGTAGACTCCTCAATCTAGTATACCTCGGAAGTCCAAGCACTCTCCCTGGAGATCCCACGCCTTCCCCGACACATGGTCGTCTCACATTGTAAGCTAAAAAAATTGGAGGCTGAAAAAGTTGTAGGTGACCATGTGTTTGGGTAGGCGTTGAATCTCCTGCGAATTGCTTGGTCTTCTGGGGTTTACTGGATTGAGGCGCCTACGACGGTGAAAGGGAGCACCCCTTCAAAGACGAAGGTGCTTGTTCTTCCGGGGTATACTAGATTGAGACTTTCAAATGTTTATCGAAAGTAAAACATGGCATGGCGAACACGTTCATCCCGCGGACCAACTTGTTTAGCCCCCCATGTTCCTCCAGCTTCGGCACAATTATCCAATTGGTTCTGATCTTTGAAGCTGTTCTTTTTTTGTTTTTGGTACATTTGAAGCTGTTCTTCAACTCGCTGTTGTAGCCTCCTCTATCTAG